GTAATTTGAGGCTATTTTATTGCATAAATACAGAGGCAAGTCTAGGTCACATTGATTTAATTTTAACATGAAAGATGATGTAAAATAATGACTATGATAGATGTGACTGTAACAAAAAGCCCAAATTCTTCTAGGTTATGTGTGAAAGTCTGCTAATATATGCATCATAACTTAAACTATAGGTAAACAAATCATTTTTTCATGTGTAGTAACTGCAATTATTACAGCTCTGAAAGGGAAAGGCATTCTGACTGTCAATAACCAAGCTATTTCTATAGCTGTGAAAGGAAGGTACCCTGGATACCTACAGCACTGAAGAGAAAGGTATCCTGATTCTTAGGGAGTCAGGCTACGCCTATAGCTGTTTTCTGATGGGGAAAAGTGGGAGGACAAGATGTAGCAATCCTTCTCCTCTCTGAGAGATCCCTTTCAGCTCAGCTCCACTACACTCTGCTAAAAGAATTTCCCAGCAGAGATGTCTGTCGCTTCTCTGCTCTGGTGAAAATTGTTACTTTCTTGCTTCACTGGGCTAAGCCGGAAATCCCTGCAGAAATGTAGCAGTCTGCTTCTCTGGTGAAGTTGTTACTTCTCTGCTCCACTCCACTAAGGGAGTTTCCCAGTGGAGATGTCTGTTTCTTCTCTGCTCTGCTCAAGTCAAAGAAGGTCCTCACCCAAAACTCATTCAAGAGATTTATTGGGAGGGAGGAATCCAGGAAAGTGGCTGCCTCTGCCAGGGTGGGAAAGGGCAGCTCCCTACTGCACAGGCACAGGGCCTAGATAGGGCTTCTTGAGATGGAGTTTTTCTAGGGTGAAGATTTTCATGGTGGGAATCTAATTTCAATTCCTGAGTTTAAACAAACTCAGAGATTGACTGGATTTCATGTTCAGGGATTGATTGGTTTTCCTGCTCAGGGATTGGTTAGTTTCGTGCCCAGCTGGTCAAGGGCAGAGTGTGGTTCTTTGGCTCTGGTTTCAAGGTCAAAGTGTTTTTCTTTCACTAGCCTTTTAAAACCATTTGGTTCTGGTTTCAGGGCCAGGGTATATATTTTGGCTGATCCTTTCAGCCTACAATAATGCCTATCACTCTATTAAGAGTGCATTTTATTTTAGTTTTGTGTGGGGTCATGTGTGTTTGTGGTGTATGTGTGTACATGTTCAATATGTGTCACTATGTATGCACATCTGTGTGTTGAGGAGAGAGGTCAATGTTGGGTATCTTCCTCAATAGTTCCCCTCATCATCATCATCATCATCATCATCATCATCATCATCACCATCATCGTCATCATCATCATCACCATCATCGTCATTATTTGTTTATATTGAGATCTGGTATAACTAAGCCTAGAGCTGACCAGGTAGAGTAGGTTGCCTTGTTGGTGAAATATAGGGAGGGATATACCTGTTTCCTCCCTAGTTCTGACATATAGATGCATGCCAGTGCACAATTCTTTTTAAATGGGAGCTGCAGATCAAAATTCAGGTCTTCCTGCTTGAAGATCAAACACTGTAATGACTGGGCTAGTTCTCAAGCCCCAACAGCATATGTTAACTTGCATTATTTTATGTCTATTTCACTACAGATCTATCAGCAGCAATGATTAAGAATGAAGTCTCATTACTTCTCATGTCCAGCTGTCATACTAAAAAGTTGAAAGACTGTCTGTTGATATTGGATATATATGAGGATATATATGTATATATATATATACATATATATACATATACATATATATATATATATATGATATTCATCCTATATGAGGCCTGGTGGGAAAGAGTGTGACATTTGACTGGGAATGTCTGCCAGGGAACAAAGCAGAGGACATTGTCATTTTGTATTTGCTGATTTCTTTTTCTATCCTGTTTTTAGATTCATGATATTTAGTAGTCTGCAGTGCTTTCCCATCACAATCTGAAAGAAAAAAAAAACCACTAACTGTTCTTAGAGTCTTACTGTCTAGGTGGTGCCAAGCTCCTACCACACTCCAGAATGAGCAACAACATCTTTATTTCACCAAACACTTCTCTAGATAATGAATTATTGTTATCGAAAGTAAATGATTCACTATGCACATTTAGACATTTCATAACACTGACCAAAGAAGGCCCAGTATAAATATACTTTGTCTTTGTGTTGAAATCAATATAACATTATTGCCAATGATATGCTGTCTAGCCAAGGTTCTCAGTGCCTTTGAAAACTTTTCTATTCTCTCCTTTATTTTTTCCTCTTGATTCCTACTTCTGTGCTTATTAACATGAATGTCTTACCAAATATTTTTAACAGAACATTTTCAATAAAATCTTACAATTTTCTATACATGTATAATCCCTCTTTATTTTAAAGTATACTTTGCTGATAATTTTTTTGAGGCAGACCCTTACCCTGTATCTCTGTCTGGATAGGAACTTACTGGTTAGACCAGGCTTGCTTCCCAATCAGAGATCCAATAGCTTCTGTATCCTGAGTACTGAGATTAAAGGCGTATGCCACTACACTCATAAAACAGTCTCTGAATACTCACATTAAAGGACTAAAATTGCCAACAGGGTCTCACTTCAGCAAATACCATTAAAATCAACAAAATGGCCATTAGGAAACTTCTTCCTATGCCACACCAATACATCACTATTATTTTGCTTATAAACATGTGGTTTAGGTCCAACTGGTCAGTGTGAAATACAGAAAAGGAGACAGGAACCACAAGTTCATTAAGAGGGCTACAGTACAATACATTCAACAAGACTCGACTCCATCCTTCTACCAGATACAGATTGCATAAATATTCATGGGATAAATATTGGTGCCCAGACTGCAACACATGGAAAGTCTTAGACCAACAACGTGTGGGCTTGAAGGAGTTAAAGAATTCATAACACCTCCCACCGTCCTCTCTCTCTGCTTTCTGCTTTCTGCTCCTATGAACTTTACACCACAATGGCCGAACAATGCCGCTGGTCACTATAGGAGAAAATCTCTCTTCTCTTTTTCAATTGATTGTCAGGAATTTTGTTCCATGAGCAGAAAGCTGCCCCATCTACTCTCAGCATCATAATCAGTATTTTGAAAACATTGTAGAAATAATTCCCAATGTAAATGTAAATCTCCCATCCAGGAACTCTTACTGCCATTCCTCCCTCCTTTGATCCTCTGTAGAATATAGGGACTGCCTTGAGTGCTCTATTTTCTGCTCTACTGTATCTTAATGGATCAGCAGATTATATTAACGCCTCAAATCAGAAAGAAAAATTTTATCAGTTACAGACACGCTAGAGTAAATATTTTAACATAGACGAACTTTGAGAAGAGAAGATTCTTGCCTGAACTGACCACAGTAATTATTTATAGCAGTGAAGTATTTAAAACTATGTAAATGTCTAATGCCAGCAGCTTAATAGACATTATGACATATCAAGAGATTAAATTCATGAGACGCTTCAAAATCAACATTTAACCAAAAGTTTTCTAATATTAAATGGAAACAGAAGGTACATAATTCTATATATTGGTATTATTGTCAGGTCCAATGAAAACCTGGGACAAATGTCCTATTAGCACATCAAGGTACATGCTGGCCTCCAGGCTCACTGGGTACCACTGACTCCTCTCAGCATTTTTGACTGAACTTCTCCAACTCATTGGCTTCCCTTCCCCCAGCTTCTCATTTCTATATAACCCTTCAAGTTTGTCCCTCTTGATCTGTTTGCCCCTGTCTCTTGGTCTTCCCTCTACCCCACGGCCCAGTTAACTGTGCTGGCCACGTTCAGTGTGGTACTTTTGCTTCCTGCTTTGGACTCTTCAGGATGCTTCTGACTGTATTATCCCTCATATCTACAATAAAAACCTTCTCTTTAGAGCATTCATGTCATCCCTTTATATAATGGTAATATATTATTATGAGTGACCTATAGAAAGCAAACTATGTCTGATATATATATATATATGTATATATATATATATATGTCATATAGAGTAGATCTACATAGATTCTTTCTTTATTTTGCATTTCCTAGTTATCTCTATAATAAACACAAATGTCTTTAAAATTGACTTTTAATGAGAACTTTTTTTTCTACAAAAGTTTTTGAATTTTACTAATTTAAGAATAATTCTTCCAGTAGAAAACATGGCCTAAATGTCTGTAGTATTAAAGAATGACTGTCCAAGGAAATGTTTATTGTGGAGTCATTACCAAAAGTGAGTAGGCTTTCTTCTATGAGCCACAGAGCTGAGCCTCAATGGGACACATACCTGATTCTTAATTAAAATCAACAACAATGATGACAAAGACAGGGAGGCTGATTGGCAAAGGCCTTGCCATTCTCATGACTTAGGGTATTACAGTCCATCATAGTGGGGAAGCAATACATGATTCATTCAATATGCAACCTGAAAATGTGCGACCAACAAACCTTCCCCACTCCTACATTGTTGTAGGTGCCTGCTTTATCAGAGCAGTGGGAATTAAACCAGAGCCTATTCCCTTTCTGGGTTTATAAAGCACACCTTGGCACTTAGTGCTTTTGAAATGCCCTGCAGTGATAATGTGCCTATAGCAAGAATTTGCTTGTAATAGTTTTAAGAACCTTGACAAAGCTTGAAAATGAAACTAAACTGATTTGAGAATGTTTTCACAACACCTTGTGATTTAAAGGTGCACTGAAGATATGCATTCACTATGCCCATATCTCTCCTAATTGTAGTTCTGCTGAGAAAGAAATAACTCAGGTTGGACTGAGTGTCAGAAAGGAAACAACATGATGTAAGTAGTAGGCTTTGGTACAAGTGAAAGTCACCTGCAATCTCAATAGTTCATGGATCTATGTCACTGTGAAGTTAGGAAATACTTCCTAGTTATTCAATGCCCTACTTTTGTAAATATCTTACAAAATAAACTGATTCCAGAGAGATCAATTTGTCTCCCCTACTCCAGTCATTTACCATCAGTAGTTCTGAAAGTCTGCCATGATTGGTCACCAACTATGATAACACTCACCCCGCTTGCTGCATCAATACATGGTTTCTCATGTGAGAGGCACAGTCTGTGATGACAGTAGGTGTGGCTTCCCCTGTCTTGACAATGAGGAGTTGACACTTTATCAAGGGATGTTGCTGGGACACTCCACAGCTACTCATCGAGGTGGGTCTAACAATTCAGGGAAATGCAAAGTTATTCATGTTTGTTCAAATGAAATAATAACTCTTGAATACCTAGACTATGGAAGGCAGCTCAAGGTGGAAGTTTTGAGTATGACCTTAGGAATGAATCACATGGATGGAGAAAATCATACAAGCCATTTTAAAGTCTAAGACTTACTTTATCTTGGAAAACATGATTTTCCTGACTTATAATATATAATAAGCATTGATCCCAAACAAACTGTTTGACACAGAATCTGTCAAAAAATAAAAACCATTGTTACTGTAAGAATCAAGATGAATTGAAACAGCCTTTGTTTCTTTATGTGAAGTTGCCAATGGCTAGCTGCTGGGGTAGAAATGACGCTTCTCGTTGTATACAGATTTATTGAGGCAACCGTGGAAGAAGTTGTCACACATCAAGTGTGAAGCATTATATGTGTGGTACAACAATCAATACTCTATCTTTACCGAGTTTCTTTTAGGTCACTTTTATGGTCACTGGTTTCCTAAAGGATTACGGGCTTGAAAATAGTATCATGGGATTGTCCATGTCAGTGTAGTGGTGGTGACAGTGACCCAATGATATCTGCAACCGGGTGAGATTCTGTTTTATGAAAACTCAATGTAGCAGCTGAATGGAGGAAATGAAGCACTAAAAGAGGAAACTCTGAGGGTCACCTCCTCACCTTGGTGTCAGATGTGTCCTTGTGTGTCTCAGAGGCAGTTCAACAGTTTAGAGCCCTTGCTGCTCTTGCAGAGAATGGTAACGAGTGACTTACAACTTCATGGAACTCTAGCTGCAGCTATGGGCCCATCTTCTGGCTTCTAGAGGTCATCACTCACTCACTCACACACACACACACACACACACACACACACACACACATAGCACAAATAAGAAAATGTTTTGAAGTGTCTTTTTTGGGGGGTAGAACCAAGGGCAATATATGTATCCACATTTATTTTCCTCTAACTTACTCTTAAAGGTCTTTTGATGAAAAGTTTGTTCCACGAAAGAATGAAGGTGAGGAAGATGGACAGAAGTTAGTCCTTCGCTGTAACATTCGTCTGGCTATACTGCCAAATGCATAGCTCTCAGTTCCAGAAGGAGTGCTCTCCACACAGTGGGCATCTCTTCTACTGCTGTGCCACATGTGACACGAAATACAATTAGCCTTTCAGTGAGCTTTGCATTTTCCTGATCCTCTAACAACTGGGTGTCAGAGCTCCCGATGTATAACCTCCCACTCACAACAAGATTATACATTAGACTCTTTGTTATCTACTTCCATGGGAGATTTTTGAATGCTAAAGAGAATAGATGAACTATATAATAAGGATTTTGTCTATCCACAATTGTTAATATTGTCATGATTTATACAATAATTTCCAACATGAACAAAAGTATATGCATCATCCTAAGTGAAGGACGCTGTCTGTTATATGTCAGACACTATACATCCATTGTTCTAGATTCAGTAATATATAATAGTTGTCTAAAATCAAGTCATATGAATACCTATTAGAATAGAATTTCTGAAACATAATGTAAATACTAGTCAGGAATGCAAATTCACATAGTTTCCTTTTTATTTGAAATGTCCAGGTGTTAAGTCTCTGGTACCTGTTTTCTTCCAAGTGTTGTTTTACTGTTCTTATTTCTTTACAGGAGAAATGTGTATGTCAGTGAATTGAATTCTTGAGAAGAAAAATGTTCCCCCTTTCCGGTTTTAACACTTGCACTAATGAGAGTGGCTGACAGGAACACAAACTCAAAACTTCTTTGTCTATTATTGAAAATAATAGCACATCAACATAAAGCTGTGGAACATAGAGGAATACATCATAAATAAATCAATAGCTCCATTTTTGAGTTGACTTAATATACCAACGTACTTCACCATACATTGTATGTTTCAAAAGTTGTAAGTATATGATATACATTTTTCATGGCCATTTTGGAAAGGAAAATGGACTTTAAAACATCTTTACTTCCATATTTTAAGATATATATATATATATATATATTCATTTAGTATACGTTTTATAAGAAGCCAGGGATATATTATCTGATCTAAGACTAGTGACCACTCTGACACCAACCCCAACATCAGCTCTCTTCCTTCCCTCTACCACTGCCCTTCAGCCATTCTGGCCCACTTCATTGTTCCTTAAAAACATAAGACAGAGGTTTTGTCAGAGCATTTTCATTGACTGTGTGTCCATTCCAGTGTCAGATCACTATTCATGCATATACTCCTCTGTGTCACATAGTCATTCTACAGATCATGAATGAGGCTCATCTCTATAAACATCTTCGTGCCTTGTCACCTATATACTATGAATACAGCTAATATTACATAAATATTATTATATGAAGTCAATATACCTTGTGTGGCATAAGATTGTTAGGAGAAAGAAAAACTTAATAAAATATATTACATTTATCTATGTACTTACATGTGTTGACTACATGTATGGAGGTTAAGGGTACCTTGTAAGAGTCTGTTCTCTCCTTCTACATGTGAGTCGTAGGTATTGAATTCAAATTGTCTAGCTTGGCAGTAAGCACCTTGTCTCCACTTGCTCCCTATAGCTGTGGTAAACACAATGACCCAAAATAAAAAAAAACAAAAACAAAAAACAAAACAACTTGGTGAGGAAAGATTTAGTTACTCCTACAGCTTACAGTCCATCATGAAGGGAAGTCAGGGTAGGAATTCAAGGCAGGAACCTGGAGGCAGACAGTGAAGCAGAGACTATGGAGAGAACTGCCTACTGACTTGCTCTCCGTGACTTGCTCAACCTGCTTTCTTACACAACTCAGGATCACTAGCCCAAGGAATGGAACTAGGACTTCTGACATCAATTACTAATCAAGAAAAAGTGCCTGCCAAATTTGCCTACAGGTGAATCTGATGTCATTTCTCACTTGAGGTTTCTTCTTGCCAGATTAGTCCGTGTTAAGCAGACAAAAAGCTAGCCCATATATCCCTTTACCCATTGAGCCACCTTTCTAGCCCTATCTATGTCTTACAGATGGTGCATGGATACATAAACATAGAGATGTGTTGGTAGAAACATCATGGAAGTATTCACAGAACTGTCAGCCCTTATTTCTGTAACTGATCATGTGGCTGCAGCTAGTATTCTGTATTCCTCATGCCTTCAGGAAGCATCGGGAAGCTGGTAATCTTCCGTCATTGTGGTGCAACACAAATGGTCAGTAGGAGTCCTTCTTCCATTGATTTCGAGAGTTTTATGTTGAGCTTGGTAACTGGACATGGCAAGAACAAGAAATGCTCCTAGAAGGCAATGTATTATATGCATACTCTTCTTTCCAGCTATTGTGAGACAAAAAAAAAAAAATCAGACTCTCCTGGATACTGAATTAGTCATCTTTATAGGTACAGTAGCTCCTTCTCTGTGGATGGGTTCAGAAATGTAATGAAAGGAACCCTCAGTGTATGGGTATCAGTTCCCACCTCTGGTTCAATGGAACCATTGTAATATGTCCAGTAGAACACTTCCTGATTTGAAACTGCAACTTTTATGCTAGCCAGAAATAAGGAGACGGGAATAGGAAGAAGGGGGGTCACTACTCCTGTTTATACCCCCATTGAGCTTTGGGCTCATGGGAGAAATGACCTCTTCAATTGACAGTAACTCAAGGTATATGTTATAGCCTCCTGGAGATGCCTGGACAGGCACTGAAAGGTACTGTCACTGAGTTTTTGCATATTATTTTGTTAAACCAGATTGTCATGTGAGTTCACAATTAGAGGACAGTCTTCCTGAAGGCCAAGCTGTGAGGTCTAGAAGACTCCAAATCCACTGTCACCTTGATCTTCAGTTTCTGCCATGCACACTTTTATATTTAGTGATGGAACCCATGGAAGACTCATGCAATATTTTCACAAAAAGCAAAATGATATTTTAAAACATCAATATTAAGAGAAGTTAATAAAGCTGCCCAAGTTCACACAGATGATTTTTTTAAAAGTCCACATCTCAACTTCATTCTTAAACACTTGTTAACAGAGTGCCTGGGTGTTGCGTGTACAAAACCAGTCGTTAAAGTCTTCTGCACTTTTTGATCATCCATGCACTCCAGGTGTTCAATCATTGGTAATCACTTTGTCAATCAGTTTTCTCAGTGATCATCTAACATTAACATCTAGGAGATGCCTAGCTGTAGGCGAAAGTTGCCATTCTTTAAAGGAAAAAAAAAAAAACATGGGCAATGCTGCTGATGTTTTTAAAGATTTTTTTAATTGTGCGTACATATGTGTCTGTATGTGGATATATGCATGCCCATTAAGTGTCTTTGGAGAGGAGAAAAGGGCAATGGACTCCCAAAAATGATGCTACAGGTAACTGAGTCGTGCCATGTGGGTGCTGGGATTCATACTGAATCTTCCGCTAGAGCATTTCATGTTCATAATAACTGCTGAAGCATCTTGCAAGTCTCAAGGGGAAATTATTGTTTGAATAATAATATTCTGAGAATTCTTTTTAGAAAATTTTATGGTAAGGAGAGATCTGAAATACCTGTATGTACGTGGGGGTGGGGTTACGCCAGAGAAGAACGCTGGTGTCCTGCTCTCTCACTCTCTGTCTCATTCCCTTGAACGAATGTCTCGCTGAACCAGAAAATAGGCTGGTGGCCACCAGGCCTCAGGAATGCTCTTCTCTCTCCCAGCAGTGCTGGAGTTACAGACCTGTGTGTGATTATGCCTAAATTTGTATGGGGGTTCTGGGTACTTGAGCTCAGGTTCTAGTGTTTGTACCCTGAGCCATTTTCCAATCCTAGGAGCGAAAATGTTCATATCATAAAAATGTTAACGAACAAGTATCCTTCTGTAAATTACTTAATTTTAATATCTATAATGATACTTTGCATTGAATTGTACTGAGGAACAGGGGCACGGCTTCTTTTTTGTTTACCAGAGAACTCTGGGCATGGTGTCTATCTGTCCATCTCTGAGGTAAAGAAGGAA